TGCGCGGTCGCTTGGGCGATGGTGGCCAGAAGTGGTCGTCGTTGTCAGGATCACTGTCGGTCCCATGGTGCTCGTCGTTGTTCGTCGATTCCAACATCGCCGATTCGTATTTCGCGGAGCCATCGTTTAGCAGTAGCATCGGTGTCTCTGCTGGGCGAACACGCTACGTCCACGGGTGGAACACCATGCTGTCACCGGACGTCAACCTTGAAGATCTTCTGCACGTCGTCAGCTCTCTATTCGTCGATGTCGGCTCCGCTTCAACTTCCTGTATTGCTACGTCATCGCCGCCGAGTTCCTCCTCAGCAGGCGGCAATGGTTCGTCGACGGTAGATCCACTTGTGGCTGCACGTCTTCATGCTGCACTAAATCATCCACCTCCTTGATCACATGGACGATTGTAGACTGGTTTGGTACAGCCGTATCGTAGATTCCGTTGACCTCCCGTTCATCCAGTTTCAGCGAACGTGACACCTTGAGCCTATTTGACTCCAAGTCGTACACCCGGTGCCCCTTGACGCTCTCAGCGTACCTCAAGAACATACACTTGAAGCTCTTTGCATCCAGCTTCGTACGTTTGACGTCTTCTCCATGAGCATACCCGGTAGAGCCAAACACGCGCAAATGCTTCATGCGCGGCTTCATCATGAAACACAGCTCATATGGTGTCATGTCCGCGTGAACACTGTTCGTGGTCCTGTTGATCAGGTACACCGCTGTATTCACCGCCTCGGTCCACCGCAACGAGCTCACACATTTATAGTGCAGCACGCTCCGAGCCTTCTCCGTGATCGTCTGGTTCATTCGCTCAGCCACGCCGTTCTGTTGCCAGCTGTACGGCACAGTCTTCTGATGCATAATCCCGCTGCGCTCACAGATCCCATCTAGAGCCTTGTTCACAAACTCAATACCATTGTCTGAGCGAGTCACCTTGATTCGCTGACCCCACTGGTTCTCGTACAGCGCCTTGTACGTCTTGAACTTGGTCAACACTCCACTCTTCTTCTTGACGAAGTTTCTTTTTTTTACAAACCGCAACTCATTCATATGGGTTGTAACAGCATGGTTCTAATGACGATACATACGACACAGAACGAGTTAAAATTATCCTTAGGAATTGCAATTGTAAGCAATTTGTTCTTAACTACAAGCGTAAAGTGTCCGTGTAGCGAGTTCGGAGCACAGAACTTCTTTAACAGGCAGTCTAACTTATTAATCAAACCATTTCACCTTGAGAAAGTCGTGTATCCTCCTTTGCTTTTTCTAGCATTTGCATGTCATTTTACATATGCTGACTCTTAGCCATAGCGTTGCGGGCATGGCTCTAAACGCACAATGCATTGTCAGGTCATAATTCTTAACATTTCTACAGTCACTGATGAATTGCTTGCCGCTTGCACCACAGATGCTGATTGAGTTGCGATTTGTGCAGAACTTGGTGCCGAATTTAATGTGAACTCTCTTGGCGATGTTCGATATGTTCTTGAGATGAAGAATGAGTATGAATTTAACGGGGTTACATGTACCCTGGTAACAGGGGTGTGTGTCACACGAGATGTGCATGGTGTGACTGCACCGAAACAAGAATACGGTATGTGGCTAGGTAGCCAGTAGATATGCATGTATTTAGATTTTACTATATCTATTTAGTATATTTAGTAAAATCTAAACTTTTAAGATTAGGATTGAAAAAATTAATAAAAATCAACTTCGATTTTGAACAGAAGTGTTCGTTTGCCTTGGTTAAGACTTCTAAGTACTTTTAGAGGCAGCGAGTTGCTATCCGCTGCACTAGTACTCGGTTCTTGTAAGGAACGAAAGGTCGGTGACCTTAATAACGCTTCCTCAAGCGCTAAGCTATGGCAGACCCGCTGCACTTGGTAGCACTTGTAGTCAATCTACACCTGAGTCTTTTAGTCGGGCCTCTGTGAGGATGGAGGAATTCTTCTCTTTGCCTCAGGGCATGCAGGACGGGCTTAACAAGCTGATGCCCTTGCTTGGCCCTTAAGGCGTGCAACACCTTTCGGCGCAAGGCCCCGAAGTGTCGTTTCTCCGCGACAAATCG